AAAAAAAAAAAAAAAAAAAAAAAACCATTCCTTTGAAACAGTGCAAAATAATTGAGGGAAATTCATATATAGACCATAATACTATGATACAATGTAAAAAAACCCAACCAAATTTCCCTGTCTCTTTCATTTCGAGCACTCGCCATTGCTCTTCTCTTCTTTTTCTTTGGAGAATATTTCAGAATCTTCTCCCGTTCTAATCATATTTTTCTTGATTACCATAAAGGGGTTTAACAAAATGCCTCCTTTTACCTTTCCCTTTATTTCTTTCGTTTTATTATGCCTTAATTTTCATTTCACTTCAGCTGGTTTCCTCGTCGAACCAGTTTCCGGCCAAAGCCAACCGCTAAATCCCGGCGAATATTCCTCCCCCAACACCGTTCCTGCATTTCCCGTTCAAACCCAGATGCAAATTTGCCACCTCGATCTTTCCGACGAGCTTTTCGGCGGCGTTAGAGAGGCTTGCGGTCGGAATCTCGACCGGAGTCGATGCTGTCCTGTTCTGGCCGCGTGGCTTTTCGCCGCTCATGCACGGGCCGCCCTTAAAATTACTGCTTCGACCTCGACGCCGGAAGCAGCCGGAGACCTCCCCATGATGCCGGACGACTCGCAGAAATGCGTCAACTCGCTGCAAACCTCACTGTTGAGTAGAAACATTAAGATTCCGCAGCCGAATGCGAGCTGCGACGCCGTTTTGTGCTTCTGTGGGATTCGGCTTCATCAAATTAGTTCGTTGTCTTGCCCCGCCGCCTTCAATGTTTCTGGCGGCGGTGGTAGCGGTTACCGTAACGCCACTCCGACGGCCGCCGTTCGTAATCTTGAAAAGAGTTGCCGGAACTCCTCATATTCTGGTTGCACCAAATGCCTTGGCGCCCTTCAAAAGGTAATCTTGAATTAATTTTTTTTTCCTTGTGAAAATTAGTAAATTGTATATAATTTAACAAAAAAAAAAAATTATTTTGTTTCTGATATATTTTTTTTATTTACAAAATTTAAAGAATTTTAATTTCCGCCCTGGAATTATTGAGCTTTAAAGACCCTACCCATGTGACGATTCACTATTCTAATTTTTTCTTTACCCCATTATTCTTCACATTTGCAAATCAGCACCTACAGTGTTATTTTAAAGTGTGTTTGGACATAAAGATATAATGTCCTTTGTCGGGATTGATAAATCCAGGTTACGGGAACGAAGAAGAACGCCAGCAACGATAGGGCCAGTAAAATGTTCAACAGAGACTGCCAACTCATGGGTCTGACGTGGCTATTGGCTCGAAACAAAACGACGTACATTCCCACCGTTTCGGCCGTACTCCGAGCCATCATGTACAGCGCTCACCCTCCGCACCAATCTACGTGTAGTCCAGACCAAGAGAACATGCCGCTGGCCGTCGATTCCTTGCAGATGGAAAAGGCGCAGTCGTCATCGCCTCCGTCCATTTCTCTGATTCCGATTATACCCCTACTGATTTCTGTTTATTGGCTTGCTTGGTAGTGGCGGTACGGGATGATTACCGGTTGGAATCTGTTTGTTTTGTTATTTTTGGAGGAAGAAAGGAGGGGATGCCCTTGTCGGGGTCACGTGAAGCTAGTAGACAAAAAGACGATGATTGAGGGGCTTTTTTGTCTTTTCGCCACACTGTAAATGTCAAATCTGGGTTGTTTTTTTTTTCTGATCAGATGGCCATTTTCTCTCTCTTCCAATGTTTTCCTTGGGGCATTCATTGGAACCAGAAAGTAAACTTGCAGTTCTTTAAACATCATCACGCTTTCAAAAAAAAAAATCTATTTTTAAAATTGTTTATAATAAATATCGTTTATTATTGGGTAAACTATAGGAATTAATTGATATGAACCCCAAACTATAGGATAAAAATTGTAATATAACTTCAATTTTAAATTCAAACATTTAAAAGCTTAATGATTAAAACTTTTCATGGCACATGATTTGATTAAGATTATCCTATATATATATATATATATATTAATATTGAGGCAATATAATATGTTATCTTGGAGGAAGCGACGCATGTGAAGAACTGGTTATATTTTTAAAATGAGATATATAATTGGATCGGAGGTGTCGAGAAAACTGGCTATGGAACCGAAACGAGTATGTCGGAAATTGAATAGTGAAAAAAATCACCAAATTCCAAGACATTACAAAATGTTCCAAGGCATAGGAGAGATTTGCGGTTGAATGTTTGTCTTCTAATATTGATTTCTGCCTATTTCACTTCAACAATTTGACACTTCCAACACTTTTATTCTTAGTTTACCAGTGTTTTCTCATTTTGTGTTTGATGTCAGAAATAAAATTTAAGCATACATTTTCCGAGTAGAGATCGAATTATTGATCGTTTGAAGAATCGTATCATTATGGAGAATCGTATTCCTAACAACTATGGAGAATCGTATTCCTAACAATATCATACCGTTATGGAGAATCGTATTCCTAACAACTTATCAAAGTCATAATCTTAAAATAGTCATGTCAATAGAATTCTGAGTGTCAAACTAAACTAAGGGTGTACTTTGTTCGAGGGCTGCATAGATCTCATGGGAAACTCTATGGTGTGCTTTGTTCGAGGGAGGATTGTTGGGAGAGAAGTCCCACATTAGCTAATTAAAGGGTTAATCATGAATCTATAAGTAAAGAATACATTTTTGATACGAGGCTTTTTGGGATTTTTATGCTTCAAGTAGACAATATCATATCTCTGTAGAGAGTCGAGAGTCGAGAGTCGTGATTAATAAAGTAGAACACTAGAGTGGTACATATCAAAGCTTATCGATACAAGCCTAGGATTGAGTGGTCTTGTATATCAATTGAAACCAAAATATACAACAGGAGAATATGGATGGATGTGGAAAGATGTTACATGAGGAGGAGGCTTAAGCCCACCATGGATTTTCGCCAGTTCTGAAATCGGTTTCGACCCAAGGAACGAACACGACCTTCCCGTCGTCTATATCAGCATGAACCAATGCAAGAGACTGTCCCAACAAACAAAATTTAAACTCTGTTTAGTCAATGGCATCAACATATAATCTGAAGTTTGTTGGTTGTTTAAATCCTTGAAATGAGCAAAGGGTTTGAAGAAGTATTACTAGAGGTGCAGGGCCTCTGACGACCCTGCCTTGATCGTTGTATTGGGATCCATGGCAAGGGCAGATAAACTTGTTCTCAGCTGCATTCCATGGCACCACGCATCCAAGGTGAGTGCATACGGCGTTGATTCCAAACGTCGCAAGTGTTTTATCCTTCTCCACTACAAGGTAGGTAGGGTCTCCCTGAAATCCATCATCAACGGTTTGCCTTTAAATGCACATACTATTTGTTCATCTTCCCCCAAGCATAATAGCATTCATTAAGCATACTTTGGAGCTTTTATCATATTCAAAATGAATTTGAAATATGCTTTAATCATTCACAATCGATTTAGAAGTGTGATTTTGTAAGATCCCACGTCGATTGGAGAGTGGAACAAAACATTTTTTTACAAGGGTGTGTAATACCTCTTCTTCACAGACGCATTTTTAAAACTATGAGGCTGATGACAGTATGTAACAGATCAAAACATACAATATCTGCTAGGGATGGACTTGAGCTGTTACAAATGGTAACAAAGTTAGACACTTGGCGATTTGCTAGTTAGGAGGTTGAGCCTCGAACGGGAATGGACATGAGATAGTATGTTAGCAAGGACGCTGAGCCTCGAAGGAAGGTGGATTGGAAGGTCCCATATTGATTGGAGAAGGGAATGAGTGTGAGCGAGGACACTGGGCCTCAAAGGGGGATGAAATGTGAGATTTTACGTCGATTGAAGAGGGGACAAAACACTCTTTCTAAGGTGCATCTCTCTAGCAGACATATTTTAAAAATTTTGTGGGAAAACGTGAAAGAGGAAGTCCAAAGAAGACAATATCCAGTGGCGGTGGGGTTGGACGGTAGTTGATTATCAACACCATAAAAAAATGATTTTTAACTATTTCACAACCACATCCAAACCTGCCCTGAGAGAGTTATAGTACCCTGAGCCCCTGTGTGAGGGTTCGGTCTCCAGGGCCATGTGCCTTCAGCCATTCATCTGCAAGAACATCATTTCCAAAAGCATCCTTGGCAACAATTCCACCACCAGCACCTCCAGTACTGTAATTGAATACAGAAAATATTCAAAAAGTTACCAAATAAACAATTAGAATACAGAATCTCAGTTCTTTGAGCTAAATTGTACAGACATGACAGCACACGCTAAGATGAATGTTCAGTTTGAAAGACTAAAGATCACGCCCAAAATTGATTTACCACTGCTAAAAGAACAAGACCCAGCAGGTAATTAGAGAAGCAGAAAGGAGAATTACCCAGGAGGGACAAAGAAATAGGTGTAAGGATACAACATGGTAGCAGTGGGAAGGCCAATAGCACCCAAAAGAAGCAAATTCATGGTCTTCCTTTTACCCATATCCGGCACTCGATCAGCCGGAATACTAGTGGCTTGACAACAGACCTTAACGCCCTTTCCCTTCGCCCCCATTTGAGCGCTTTTGGGTTTCCTCAACAGCGCTTGCGAGGGACAGAACAAAGCACTTCTACTGGCGCATAGCTGAACAACAACATCATCAATAATGGGCAACAAATTTCAAGTTCCTTACAACATCATGGAAGTTCAATCAAGAAGTTACCGCTACCTACCTGTGAGGGAGTTGCAGAAGATAGAGTGGAGGACGCCATGGATGGATCACAGCAAAGAGTGGAGGGAGTTTCTCTATAACTAATGTTATATCAGTGAGTGGCGCTGAGATTTGAGAGATTGTGAGCTGAATTTTGATGACCACAAAAGGTGACTACTAGATAAGGCAAATTAGCCACATCGGTTCCAAATGGCCACAAATTTCAGAACAATAAACGCAAATGGGCCAACGAGGCCACAATTTACTTGGGCCGAGATATAATTTTGGGCTATCTGGGCCAAGGGTCAATGTATCAAAGCCCAAATCATTTTCAGTAAGATCCGGCCCAAAAGGTAAATGTAAAGAAACTATTTAAATAAATATAAATTCTCATGAGGAAGAAAAATCCAACTAAATCAAAAGATTATAAACCTTTATTTTCCACCTAGACTTATCAAAAACCACAAGACTTTGCTTTAGTCATTTAATAATTTTGAAAATTATTTTCGAAGACCAAAGACTTGGACGAAATGAAACGTATCGTTAATTTTTTTTTAAAAAAAAAACACATTAAATATAAATTCAAAAGTTAATAGTTTTGGAGACTTATTTTGACACACTTGTGAAACTATCGAGATCATAATAAGTTGACCTACATTCAAGTCAACTCAAGTCAACTAGTATAGCTCGTAGGATAATCCCAAAACAAAATCGTGCAAATTACCATTTAAAATGAATAATATCAGTTTATATTAGAGCGTATTATTTCAATTTTTTTAAAAAATAATAATATGAATATTAAACAGAGATTTAAAGAATGAATAAAAATTGAGTGTATTTTATTAGTATTTTTTAATTTAATATTTAAAGTAAATAAGAACGAATAAAAATGTGATTCCAAAGAATTGATGCATCTCTGGTTTTTGGAAATTCCACTGTCCATTTACGCTAACACAAAAAATGAAAAAGATTAGTGGTCGAAACATCATAATTGATGCCCATCATTCTTTTATGCTTTCTTTTGAGAACACGTGTTCCACGAGGACCTGAATAATTCCTCTCTGCCTCATAATTTATATCTTTAATCTTCCTTTGCTTCCACCTTTTCCTACGTTACAGTAAAAAAAATTTAAGCGAAACTATGGTTGTGCCCAAGTAAATCATCAAACAATGACCTAACTATCTATGAACGTAGCCTCACATTCTAACAAGAGAAATGACAACCATCAAGTGGCGTCTATCTGGTCAGGCGAGGGCCTAGACGAGTGCCATGATGAGACTGAAGAGGACAGTGCGTCATCTAACACACTACACAAAGTGGACATTGAAAGAATTCGAAACATAAGTATGATAAGGCATGGGTAGGGTCTTGAAACCTTAACCTCAAAAATTGGAGCTCTGAAAGAAATTTGGGCATAGATAGATATAGTAAAATTCTATCATTATTACTGTATAGAGATAGATTTGGATATAGATATAGATATAGATACATTACGTTTTTTCAGGAGGGATACAAGTAGGGTTGATAATTCTCGGGCAATTCCTTCATTACTTGATAGAACAAGTCAGCTTGATCAAACTCGAAATCATAGTTAACATGGAAGAACATTGGATCTTGACTTTGAGCTTCCAAATTGTCTACTAAAAATGGAACATCCCAGAAATCTCCATTGTTGTTATTACTTGTTTCTTGAAACTTGAATGTCGTTGGAGGGCTGTCTTGTGTCGATTCTTGGTTGGAACAGACAGTGGAGATTTCAGAGGACAGCGGCGAAAATGGAGAGCTTTCCAAGATTTCATGAGAGGGAACTTCGCTTATCAAATTGGCTTTCATTTCTGGCTCTCTTTCCTTCATGGAAATTGCCTCGTTTTGTTGCTTCTTTTTAACCTTGCTAGCTTTTACCTTCTTCTTTAAATGGGTATGCCAATAATTCTTTATTTCGTTATCGGTTCGTCCCGATAATTTTGTAGCCATCAGTGACCATCTAATGAATTGAATCAACATGTGATATCAATATTTAAGCTTCGAATAGGGATTTATTTGATGAATACATAGAAAGGATCGAGACATACTTGTTTCCATGTTCTTGATGCAATTGAAGGATTAATCGTTCTTCTTCTTTCGAATAGTTTCCTCTCTTCACGTCTGGACAAAGGTAATTGATCCAACGTAATCGGCAACTTTTGCCACACCTCGACAAACCTAATAATGAAAATCATAACCCCACCTCACTATTTCAATTCAAAATCATTCATATAATCGGACCCATCTCTCAATTATTTATGTTCTTCAAGGTAAAATTCACAAAAATGAGTAATTTTTCAAGAAAAAGGAAGTGAAAGAAGGCATTTTTTGAAATGGGTTATTTGTATTTTTACATAATAAGGTTCAAAGAAAGGAGAAAGGGCAGATTTAGGGTTGAAATTACCTGCAAATCTAGGGAGCTCTCGCCAATTGCAATGGCCATGTTTGTGAACGTAAGCCTTGAGCTTCTCATCTTCATCAGGACTCCATGCACCTTTTTTGAGTCCATTTTCATCAAAATATGGGGCTCGAACCATGGCTGTGAACTCCAAGTTTGGTCTGATGAAGAAGAAGACTCAGAGTCCACCAACAATTTATATACCTCTGACTAAAAAATTGTAGAAATTACTGCTGGCTTGAGACGACAGAGAGGGACCCAAAGAGGGAAGAAGATGCCATGAAAGCTCCATCGTGTTTCACCAAAACACAAAAAGCAGACGACTATAATCGAACTGCACTTCAAGAAGCATCCTGTGAATTGACAAATCCAACCCAGGGGTAATTTCGACATTTCAACTAGTTTTTTTTTTTTTTTTTTCCTTTTTTATAAATATTTTGAAAAGTAATTGCAAGAGATGACGTATGTGGAGTGATGTCATTAAAAACCAATAATTTTACTTTAAAGGACATTTTAATATTGAAGTTTATAATTTTGTGTGGATAATAAATATAGAACCCAAAGAAACAGGGAAAAGTGTTTATTAATGCCTCTGAATGGAAACGTGGCTTTCAAGTCTTGTGTCCAAACACACACAGAATCCAAAGCTCCCACTCAATTTCCTTACCTCCCTCCTTTCAATTTCACGTGTTTTTTTTTCAACTCTCACTCACACATTTCCATTCATACTCACACACTGTATTATTACTCGTAAATTCGTTCACACCAAACTTTTAAAATCAAATTTAGTCCTTTAGTTTTGTTCAGACAAATAAATTTCATTTATTTTTTTTAATGCATAAAAATTATTAAATTTTGGTTTTTTTTTATATTGATTTTTTTTTTAAATCAAATGAAAGTAATAATAAAAGGAGGATCTTTTATTATGAAAAAAGAAAAAAAAAAAAAAGAAAAAAGAGAAAAGGGGAATTTTTTAGATTTGGGAAGAAGCGTTGAAAAAATAAGATTTTTTGGAATCATGAATTTGATTTTTCCAACAACAAATGTTTGGAAATAAATGTAAACTATATCTTTAATTATAGATTTCCTATTTTGAAATTATTTTTATTTATTTATTTTTTTAGTTTTAAATATAGTTAATACAAACCTTGTCATTTGTAGTGCAAATTTCATTCTTTATAAACTATTTTCAAAGGAAGATTATATCTGGTTTTGATATGGTTCCTTCAATTATATTTGACTGCTCTTATATATAATGATTTTGATTTGGGCCTTGGGCCTTGGGCCTTGGCAAATTTGGACCATGATTTTGGACTAAAAAATTGGTATAGGATCTTGGGCCTTGGGCTGCAGCTTCGAAGACATATATTATTTGGATATCTTACTGGAAAGTGCAATGAAAATCCCTCGTAGAGTAAGACGTTAAAAGGGGAATCAAAGAGACAGAATATATACTGAATTGGATGAAAAGAGTGCAAGAGCAACGCCTTGAAATTTAGCAAACTTCAGGCCGCATTGGAGGAGCTCGTTGTGGATGTGCTGCTTTTGGCCTGAGATGATGAAGTCGTCGAGCTGGTCTTGGAATTCTGGTTTGAAGACGATGACGAAGACGATTCAGTGAAGAAGACGAGATGCTCGTGGCTGTCGTTAAATGCGAGTAGGGATCTTGGCATCGGCGGTTTGTTTACTTCCAAAACGCCTTCAAGAATTTGGACAATATTACTCATTGATGGTCTCTGGACTTCTTCGTCTTGGATGCACCAACAGGCTACATTACACAGCTTCTTCAGCTCTTCTACATCAGCATTTCCTTGTAGCTTTGAGTCCAACAAGCTACGGATGTCTCCCTCTTCAGACATTGTGTTTGCAACCAAACTTGGGAAAAACTTGATTGTTCCGTCTTCAGATTGCTCCGAGTTCCTTCTTCCTGACACGAACTCGAAAAGCATCATCCCGTAGCTGAAAACGTCGGCTTTAGCTGTTATTGCCACCCCCGAGATCCACTCGGGCGCTAGATAGCCTCGTGTGCCTCTCATGGTTGTCAGGACTCTGCTGAACTCTCGTCCAAACAGCTTGGCCAGGCCGAAGTCAGCCACTTTGGGACAAAATTGAGCATCCAAGAGAATGTTTTCCGGCTTGATGTCACAATGTACGATGCATTCACGACACTTCTCGTGCAGATAAGCCAACCCTCTTGCAGTCCCAACAGCAATTTGGTATCTTGTTTTCCAGTCCAAAACCTTGTCATGGAAAAGATGAGCATCTAAAGAACCATTAGGCATGTAATCATATACCAACAGTTTTTTACTGCCTTCTGAGCAAAACCCACGAAGCCGAATCAAGTTAACATGTTGTATTGTCCCGATTGTGCTGACTTCTGTCCTGAATTGCTTCTCTCCTTGGCTAACACTCTCTAACTTCTTCACTGCCACAATCGTTGAATCAGCCAGAGACCCTTTAAAGACAGAACCAAAGCCTCCTCCCCCAAGTTTATGAGAGAAATTCTTTGTTGCATTCTGCAAATCTCTGTACTCAAAGGCCACCAATGAACCCTCCACCGTTTTCCCTTTTCCTACAATTCTCCTCCTCCTCAGAAGAAGAAAGAGTACAGCCAGCACAGTTGCTAAAACAGCAGCTGACCCAACAACAATACCAATGATCATTCCTGTGTTCCTCTTTCTACTTGAAAACTCAGAAGCTGCAAGCCTGAGATACAGTGATCTCGTACCCGGATCACTTGGTGACTGTTTCCGCATATCCAAGAG